TGTCGGACTCACGGGGTGACCATCTTCCAATATATTGGGGAGCTTTGCCGCTACCTGGTTAACCAGCCACAGGTAAGAGCAGAAAAAGGTGGGGCCTCTGGGATTTCTGCCATTTTTCCACCTTTATTATTATTATTTAAATATTTGAACGAATTATTTATTCACCCTTGATTGAACGATTGATTGATTGATTGTAATTCTGGCTGAATGGCTGACCATGGTTCATTTTTATTTATCCATCTTTTAAGATGTTATTGTCAGCCCTCCAGAGTTACTTTGTGGAGTCGTGAGATGGATAGTGTATAAATTTAATTTAATTTAATTTAATTTAATAAATAAATAAATAAAAGAGGCCGCTATTGCAAATGACTTCTGCATCGTGCTGGGCGGGGAATGACACCCCCTCCTCAACATTGTCTCCCTCCCTTATAAAAAAAAAAAAGCCCTCCCAATCCATCGGCAATCAAACCCGGAACGATTTCCTACCAACATTTGGCGACCGCAAAGGGTCCTTCCGATCTTCCCAAACGGGATCATTTCCCAGAGAAAGTCTCCCTCTTCACTAGCCAACGCAGCCCGTTGTCGGCTGTGCCCGTTTCCGCTTGCAAAAGAAGCCGGGCCCTGTTTTGTGGCACCGTGTTCTTTCTCCTTTCCTGCAGAGCCCGGCTGATCGGGAGCATTCCTTGCGCTTGGCCGTGGGCAGCGGGATGCGGCCGGACGTCTGGCGTGAATTCCTCCGCCGCTTCGGAAACATCAAAGTGGTGGAAACATACGGCATGACCGAAGGGAACGTCACCCTCTTCAACTACACCGGCACTGTGGGGGCCGTGGGGCGCGGCTCCTGGATTTATAAGGTGGGCATTGTGACATTCCTGGAAAAGCTGCTTTACCGCTATCCGACTTACATCGTCGTCTCCTTTTAACGACTCCATAATCTCTTGCGGCATGGAATCTGGGCAACTGAATGGTAGTGAGTGTTTTTACTGGCCGGATGCCCTTCCTGTCATTAGTGTGGAGTTTTATTCAGCAGATAATATTCTCAACATTCCCAGAGAGAGAAATATCTGCCTCTACCTAGGATCGAACTGACAGACTCCTGATTGTGAGGCAAGCAGCTCCACCTTTAGGCCACTCACACTGTCCGACTTAAATGTATACGATGTATTTATTAAACAAATAATTTATTTAATACATTCCTAGTTATTAATCCAGCCAGAGTTGCTTGACGGACATAGGTGGCATATAAGTTTAATAAATGAGTAAATAAGTATCTAAATAATAACCGAAGCGAAGCCTATTAAAGTGAAGTGAAACAAAGCAAAGTAAAGCCATTTATATGGCTACTCGGTTCACACCCAGGTGACTCCGGGCAGCTTTAAAAAATCCTAAAAAAATCTGTAAAACAAACCTCTTTAAGGTTTCTCATCTCTTTCTGGTTTGAATTTATCTTTTACCGACAAAGAAATAAAAGGCTTGAAGATTCTCAAGGTTTCTCTCCTTGATATTTTTCTCTCCCCCACCTCCTTGGGGTAAAAGATAAATTCGAATCAGAAAGAAGTTTATCAAGTTGTTTTTGTTCTTTTAATTGTTCAGGTTTTCTAGCGTTGCTTTCCCAGAGTAGATTCAAGAGCCAAAGGGGGGAAGCAATCAAATGCGTGAAATTAAAACACAGCTTTTCTGAAATAGAAGGACAGTCCTTCTGTTATAAAGGCTCTGTGTTTTTTTATCGTTCACCGAAGTCCGTGCAACCTAGAAGTAAAAAAAAATTGTAGTAAAAGAGGGGTAACTGGATTAAAAAATAAATAAAAAGGAAGAAGAGGTCAACTATTTGTGCACGGGGTTCGTAGAAGGAAAAAACGGAAGGAGAAAAATCGTCCTTTTGAAATTGCATCATCACGACTTCTTTTGCCCTTCAGTGTTTCAGTCCCTTTGAGTTGGTTCGTTTCGACGCTGTCCAAGGCGGTCCGCTAAGGGATGAGGCCGGACGGTGCCAGCGTGTGGACATAGGTGACCGAGGGAACTTTTGGGGGGGGGGCGGGGGGCGGGGGGCATCTTCTGTCTCCCCTTCCCTTCTGCCTCACATGGCCTTGTTTCCCAGCGAGTTACAAGCAATCCTCGGCTTAAATGGCCACCGTTGGGAGCAGAATTCCCACGGCTCCCAATGGCGGTCATCGGACGTGGTTCCTGGTCAATTTGACGCCCTGGTTTCGCTGTGGTTGCTAAATGAAATTGCGGCAGGGCTTAAGCCAACCCGTGCAGTCGTTAAACAAATCCGGCTCCCCCCCCCTCCAAATTGGTTTGGCTTGTCAAGAACCCGGTTGGAAGGGTGTAAATCGGGGATCACACAAACCCCCAGGACACCGCGACCATCCGAAACACACACCGATGGTTAGGTTTCTGAATTTGGATCGTGTGGCCTGGGGAACGCTGCGGCGGTCATAAGTTGATGACACCGGTCGCAAATTACATTTTCAGTGACGTAATGTCCGAGGGTCGATAAACTGTTTAATATCGTGGACCACCGGGAGTTACCCAGCGGGAAGATGGGCGTCCCAATAAATTTAACCATTTTTTGTTTTTTAAAAAAAGGAATGGTCATATGCCGAGGACTAATCCGTGTGGTTGTTTTTCTTCCCGTAGGGGAACCGGGACTCCTGATTTCTCCGGTGACATTTCGTAACCCGTTTCTCGGATACGCCGGTGGGCGCGAGCTGACCGAGGCAAAGATGCTACATGGCGTCTTCTCCGATGGGGACGTTTATTTCAACTCCGGGGACTTGATGGTGCAAGACGCCAAAGGGTTTATCAGCTTTTGGGACCGTACGGGAGACACCTACCGGTAGGCTGGTTTCCCGCTTGAGCCGAGTGCGAATCCTGTCTTTGAGCTCGCCGGTGGTAAGGCTGGGCAGCTACTCAGCGCAGGCGAAGGTGTAGCAACACCTCAGGAGCGATTACAATAAGTGCGAATTTCCACTGCAGAGGATTCACGGGGTGTCCTCGACCTACGACCGCCTATGGTAGTCCTTGACTTGATGACTGTAGTCGAGCCCACAATTTTTATGTGTCGGCTGTGAATTTTGCCCCATTTTAAGACCTTCCTTGCTGTTATCTGTTAACTTAGTAGCATGGTTGTTAAGTGAAACGGTTGTTTCCTCCATTGACTTCGCTCGTCAGAAGGTCGCAAAAGGGGAACCACGTGAACTCTGCAACTGTAATAAATATGAGTCAGTTGCCAAACGTCTGAATTTTGATCACGCGACCTGTAGTAGAGTTGAGCTGTTGAATTGGGTGATTTAGCCTCTCTGGAGGATGGCTCGGGTTTCCCATGCTGGGCAGGGATGATGGGCTTTGCGATCTAGGCCCTAAGGAGGGCGCAAGAGATTTTATATATATATATTTTGAAAAAATATATGCTGAAATATCGTTCGATTCCTGCCTTGCATCATACCCCCCATTGGCCACACGAGGGCGCCCTTCCTTAAAGAAAACTTTCCCAGGGATTTGATGCGATTCAGTTTTTTGTACAATAACCTCAAATAGTTTTGCTTCACCCAAAAAAAGTGGAACAAACCCCAAACTTTCCATTTTTTTTTTTCAAATTTAAATGGATTGGTCGCTCGACATCAGCTGGCTTTGGGCAGCCAACAAAATGGCAGAGCTGAGTCAGGTTTTTTTTTTAATTTGCAAATTCTTCCCACCTGGCTTTGCAAACAAATTCCCACTGTTTTGTTTTTTTTCCCCCCTCCTGTAGTTGGAAAGGTGAAAATGTGGCCACCACAGAAGTCGGGGAGACTTTGAGCATGTTGGACAGTTTGCGGGAAGTCACAGTTTACGGCGTGTCCGTTCCAGGTAAGAGTTAGGAAAACCAGAAATATATATATATATATATACATACACAACTTTAGGTCCTGTTCTTTGCCCGATTCCCAGTTCTGCAAACTCAATTTCTTGCATTCTTGGATGGAAAAGGCTTGAATGGCAAGAATGGCTGACTATTAATTATCCCTATTAATTATCATTGAAATTGGCGGCATATAAATAAAATAAAATAATTTTTTTTCTGGGCTTTGCTCTGGAATTTTCCCTTTGGAAAAGCAAAGATGCAAATTTAAACCATGGATTGTTTTTTTTTTTTTCCCCAAACAATAGAAAGACTAGAAATTTTCTAATTTTCTTTCTTTTGTTCCTCAGATTTCCTTCTGGCTGTTGTCTCTTTTCTTCCCCCTTTTGGTGGTGTCAAAGGCCAAGGCAGGCGACCACTTACGCCACAATCGAGGCCAATGTTTCTGTGGCTGAGCGAGGCGGTCGTTAAATGAGCTTTTTGGTCCCCTTTTTACGACCTTTCTGGCCACAATTGTTTAAAGGGAACTTTTGCAGTTGTTAAGTTACTAACACGGTCGTTAAGTGGGTCCGTCTTCTCTTGTCAGAGGTTGCAAAAGGGGATCGCGTATTTATGACGCTGCAACCCTTGTAAATATGAGTCAGCGTCCAAGCGTCCAAATTTAGATCCATGACAATGGTCGTAAGGAGGAATACTGCTCCCAAGTCCCTTTTTCCAGTGCATTTGTAACTTTGGTCACTAAATGGACGGTCGTAAGTTCAAAGACTTACCTGCCTTCCCTTCTAGGATGTGACGGCCGGGCAGGAATGGCCACTTTAGTGCTACAGCCGGACGCAAACTTTGACGGCCCTCAAATCTACCAGCACGTGGCCGAGCTGCTCCCGCCATACGCCTGGCCTCGCTTCCTGCGTCTCCAGGTAAGTTTCGGGTTTGAATTCCCTCTTCCATTCACAACGTCCCTGCGAGGGAGGCCAGGTTTTCTTTTTTTCCAGACCAGACCCGGCCGTCGTTCACACTGGGCTGATTTTCTCTCAGGAGCAGCTGGAGATGACGGAAACCTTCAAGCAGAAACGGTTCCGTCTCGTGGAGGAAGGATTTGACCCCAGACGGATCTCCGACCCGCTTTACGTGCTGGACATCGGCGCGAGGACTTATGTCCCTCTCACTCTGGACGCCTGGACGAAGATCGCCGTGGGGGAGCTACGTCTGTAACAGACACTGTGTCAGGATTCCGGCAGTTACCCCCCCATTTAAATCCTGAGTCTCGAACCAAATTTCCAAAACTTCCAAAGGATTTATTGGGAGTTAACATGCCGGCACTGCCTGAGTGCAGCTGACTCTGAGATACATCATTCACGGTCACTCTTGACCCTGGTTTTCCCCCTGGGTGTATTGTAATTCATATTCTCCAATGGGACACCTCCATAGCCCAGAGTCATCCATCATGCTCTCCGGTTAGATATTTGCACGGCAGAAACTTCGGTCACCTAGTTACTATCTTTGAAAAAACATTGATGGAATGCACTTTCGGTTTTGTCCTCGACTTATAATGGAGGCAGGAATCAAACTTTGCTGAGCTGGGCCGCTGTAAAAAAAAATCAAATATTTAAAATTCCCATCGTCCATCCCGCCGCCTGTTATTTCGATGCCTCTCCTCCCTTCCATACCCGAGCTGATTTTACGGCATTTATTTTTTTTCCCCTCGTGGCTGTCCTTCAGCAAAATTGTGCAGTCATTAAGTGCGCCCTTGTCCACGAAGAGCCAGAAAACCGGAATTTAAACCTCGCTTTCTGGTTAAAAAAAATAAATAGAGCAAATCAGGAGGCTGCCGATGGTCCCTTGCGCAGAGTGTGGGAGGCGTGGTCGTGATGTGGAAACTGGATGGGAAGCTTATGTCGTAAGTCGGGGATGCTCAACGGTCGTAATCCGAGGCCTGCCTGTATTCCTGAATCCTCCTACCTCTATTCTCACACAACCTGTTCCTTGCAACGCAACCGATTTTTACAAATTGGGGCTGGATTCTCCAATGTTTCTCATTTTTTTTCCTACGAGGTCTTTAAAAATCTAAATATTCTTCTTTTTATATCTGACCCACATCGCCTGCCTACCCCCAAACCCAGGACACAAAACACCCTCTGGGGCTGGGTGATTTTTCTCACGGTTGACTGGGGGGGGGGGAAATTCCCCTTTTTTGGGGGGTGGGCATCGCCGAAGCTTGGGAGAGCATTTGTAACCCTAATTTCCTCCGTCTTCTATTAAATCCCTGATTGGGAGGTGCTGAGATTAGACCCATTTTAAAGACTGGGGAAACTGAGGCCCAGGTAGGAGTCATAAGCTAAGGGATGTATGTTATATGGTGGCTTTTGTTAGTATTTTGGTTTTTTTTTTCTTAGGAATTGTATGTCATGACTTTGTATTTAATCAACCCGCCTAATTTGGGGTGTAAGATTTGTTAACCGTGGTTTATTTACTCTTAGGAGCTATGCAAAAGTCAGGAAAGGGCTGACCTAACCAGCATTTTTTGCACTTTGGATACAAAAGCAACCCCCGGTTTTCTCCCTCCACCCCAAGCAATGCAATCGGTGGCCTACCTCGCAAGGGCAGTTTTCCCCTCTCCTTGCAATCTTTCTAGCCAGGACGGATAAATCAGTCCAGAGCTGCTCACCGTGATGCCTCGGATGGGGTGAATCTATTTCAATTCCACAGGGGGGGGGGGGGGGGGGGGGGATTCAGATCTTTTAAACCAGCTATCATGTCTGTTTCAAAGTTGGGGTTTGTTTGTTTTTTAAAAAAGCTTTATTTTGGGGGTGTTTTGATGGAATAAGAAGTTTTTGACAGGCTAGCTCTTGTTCCTGAGGACGAGAAGGGGCTGGCTGGGGGATTCTGGGAGTTGAAGCCTTTTAAAAGTTGTCCAGTTTAAGTTAACACTGTTCTAGATGTTCACCTAAGTGCATTTTATGATTAAACGATCAAATTAACCTGCTTGGGAAATTCTGTTTATTCCATTATTCTTCCACCTCGCTTATTTTGTGAAAAGAAACTAGGGTCTCCTCCCTCCTCCCCTTTGGATGGTGTCTTCCTAGCTGCCTCCCCCTTTTCAAACCCTGGCTACAAAGAGAGGGCCGAGGGAGGGGGGGGGTTGCCCCCATTGTGCCTAGAGAATAGGGCCCTGGGCTTGTGTAAGTGACACCATGAATGGACCCAGGAAAGCGGAAAAAAGAAGGGGGAAGCAACACACACACACACACATGCTCCAAATCCAGGACTTTTAAGTGCAGTTAACTGGTTGGGGGGGGGGGAGGGGGGTTAGGAATGGGAGGGAAGGTGGAAGAATCTCTTGGCCCCTTTGAGATTATCTCCCTGATGCTAAATTGGGAAAGGTTTTCTCTGTGTCTTTCTCTCATTTCTCTGTTTCTGTCTCTTTATTTCTCTCTGTGTGTTTACTGTCTCTATTTCTGTTTCTCTCTCTCTCTCTCTCTGCCTCTCTATTTCTCTTGTTTCTCTCTCTCTCTGTGTGTGTCTCTCTCTCCATTTCTCTCTTTCTGTCTCTTTCTATTTCTCTCTGTTTCTGTCTCTCTCTCTCTGCCTATTTCTGTTTCTCTCTCTCGTGTGTCTCTGTGTGTCTCTCCCTCTCTCTCTCTGTTTCTCTCTCTGTTTCTGTCTGTGTCTCTCTCCATTTCTCTCTCTTTCTGTCTCTTTCTATTTCTCTCTCTGTTTCTGTCTCTCTGCCTGTCTCTCCCTCGTATGCTTTTCCCAGTCAGGCCCTCAATAAAGTTAGCAAACACAGTGTAATAATTTAAATCCATCTCAAGATTGAAACAACCCAAAGAATTCTGTTTTTTTTCCCCTCCAAGCTGGGCCAGACACTTTCAGTACCTGGGACAGCATTCAAATAAAGCCACTTTTCACACCCCCCATTTCAGTTCTTGAGGATTGGCAAGGCATCCTATGCTGGACTACTGCAGGATCCTCGCCGTGGGGCTGGCCTTGAAGAGGATGCTGCGAAGGGCCCCCAGGCTGCCTTCTCATCCCATCACACCAGTTTCCAACTGGTTTCCAGTTTTACTTTTCTCTTTTTTCCCCCTTAGTTTAAGCAGGTTCCAGTGGGGCGAGTCTGCCAGCTGGTTACCATTGGAGAATTGGTCTGCACTTCCAAACAAATAAAAATACCCCCCCTCCATCTCTTCTGCATGCAAATTAAGCCCAGGTGAGAGGCCAGGTGAGTTCTCCTTGGCCTGGCCACGCAGGGAAGGTGATGGGTGCGAAGGATTGCCACTGAATGATCTAGCCTTGGGAAGTTGGGAAAGGAGAATCCCTTGAACGCATAGAGGAAGGGAGGAAGGAAGGAGGGAGGGGCTCTCAAACCAAATGCAATTGGGTAGCTCCCCCCATCTCTCCCCCCCCCCCACACACACAGAGCCAATCCCCCCCTTGTCCTCCTTGAACCCTGCTCCGATTATCTCAATGACTCCGGCGGTGGCAAAGGGCAAACAATGGGACTTCTCAGCTGGCCAATTTAGCTCCCCCCTGGACTGAGAAAGGCCTCAGAATTTGGGGCAGGGGGCTGCAAAAGAAAGGGAGACCCACGATAGCAGCCAAGTGGGGAAAAGTTGAGACCAAAGATTTCATTTTTTTATTTTTTGGGGGGGGGGGGGGAGGATTAGAAAACCAAGCAGGGTGGGTTGGGGCCTCTTTGTTTCTGTCTGCCTTAAGGGATTCAGTCAGGCAGAGAAAGTTTGCAGGTGGAGTCTGGGATTTGGGTTGCTTTTGGGGGAACACGATCGCCGGGGGGGGGTGTTTGGGGGTGACTCCAGGCAGCCGTTGGCGGGCGATGCCACCATGGAGATGCTGGATTGTCCTACTGCTGCTTCTGCAAAACTGGGGTAAGTACAATGATGATGATGATGATGATTATTATTATTATTACGACCGTCGTCAGCTAGCAGGAAATTTTGGGTGCAACCCGAAGATCGAATGCAGAAAAATCCAAAAAGTTTAACTCAGGGTTATTGTGCCCAAAGAATAGCGGTTTAATGGATTTGCAAAAGGATGCAAAGTGCTCACGGAGGTCTTCAAAGAGGCACTGGAGTAAAAGGAAGAAAATCGAGCAGAAAATAAAGTTTTGAGACCTAATATACTCTTTGGGGATGGAATCTGGGGTGGAAAAACCTCGCTTTTTAGATGCTTTTCAAGAACTGACGGGTTGACTTTGAGCAAATCCAGCAAGAGAGCATCTGAGAGCCAAAAGGAAAGAATTTCATTTCATTTAGATGAAAGTTTTGCTGATCATTTTGCATTGTCAGCCAGAATATTCAGAATATTTTTTGCTGGCGTGCTCTAAGAAGTTACAAAACACACACACACACATACACCCCACAACATATTCAGTGCATGTTTCAATGGACAGCCAGACCACACGGTTTGCGTTATTTTTGTCGGTGTGCAGCCACTCACAAAAATGTGAGTTTTTAAAGCTTGGTTATTTGGCCAAAATGACAGCATTTAAGGTAGCTGGCAGTTGTGTGTTTACAATCCTGTTTTGCAAATGATTCCAAGAATCAGGGTTATAATTGTGGTTTGTGAAGGAATCGAGGTTTGCTGAACTGCAGTTTAGTGTCCTGGGTGAGCGGGAAAATCCTTTCAGACATCGTTGGAGAAAAAAATTCTGAATTCACCTGCTTTTCCTGTCTGTGTGTTATTTAACAAGAATAACAGAATAAAACAGAATAATAGAGTGGGAAGGGAACTTGGGGGTTTTCTAGTCCAATTTTAATTCCTAAAAATTAAGAAACTTCCCAGATAGGCAGAAACATGTAAATTGAAAAATAATAATAATAATAATTAAAGTGAATGTTAAAATCCGAGGGGATTAAAATCCCGAGCTATGATTCTCTCACTCTTTGAAATGAGAATCCAATCAGAATTTGGCCTGGCCAGAACAAAGCTCTTTATAATAACCTTAAATCAATCTCCATTGGATCAAAGAAAGTGGGTGACACATTCACACAACCAAAGAGAGACACCCTCCCTACAAACCATTTTTTCAATCCAAATACTTTAAAAAAAAACAAAAACCAAGCCCACTTAAATAATTTCACGCCGTAGCGAGAATATTAAATGCCCCTGAATTTCTTCTTCTGCAACTCGGAAGACGAGATTTGTTTTCCTTTGCAAAAGCCGTTTTCGGCTCCAAATTCCACCCTGTCTGCAAAAAGCTGGTTTGCAAAAGAGAAACCCAGTTTGATAGGAGGATAGTAACGATGCTTGGACGGCTTCTGAGACCAGAGGCCTTCGTCCACTCAAGGAAGCGTAAAAAGTTTCACCCGCCAAGAATTAACTCGTGCAAGGAGTTTGCACGCTGTTTTAGCTCCCAGTTTAACTAACTATAGTTTGTAGACCAAGCTGCAACTCCCTGAGTTTATTCTGCATGAAATCCAGCCAAAATATACGATTTGTCGTATATTGTCGTATGTTTTGCTGAGTGTGCTCAAATAACCCAATATTATTCATTGATCAGACTTCCATCTCAATAGTAGGAGACATGTTGTGGGTATCTAGTCAACTATTATTTATGGTATGTCATTAAAAACACACACCAGAAGAGGTGAGTGACAGACTACCCCTGCCTGGGTTAGCCAGATGGTATGAACGATCCATGAAGGGGAAAAAAGGGGAAATTATAGTTTGATTTCTTTCTTTGTTGGTTTTCGTGACCGCAGTATTGGTGAGTTGGTTGCTTCCATGAGTTTCCATCTGTTGTTTCAAGTGCTTTGGAGAATAAGTTGACCCCCCTCCTCTTCTTTGGGGGCAGCCCCTCAAATATTGGAATGCACTCCTGTTCCTATTCATCTTCTCATCACTCATTTCACATCCCCTCCCACTTGTGACTGCATGGCTGTAACTTTGTCGCTTGTATCCTTACGATTTATATTGACTAGTATTTCCTATACTATTTCCCATACTATTTCCTAGTATGATTTGATTACTTATTGTACACTATGAGTATCAAGTGTTGGACCTGGTGATTTTTGACTCTTGACGAACGTATCTTTTCTTTTATGTACACTGAGAGCATTTGCACCAAGGGAAATTCCTTGTGTGTCCAATCACACTTGGCTAATAAAGAATATTCTACTCTACTCTACTCTACTCTTTCCTTCCTCCTTTCCTTCCTTGTTGTACCTTATGTTTCTTGGCTCTTGATGAATGTATCCTTTCCTTTATGTACACTGAGAGCATTTGCACCAAGGGAAATTCCTTGTGTGTCCAAGCACACTTGGCCAATAAAGAATATTCTACTCTACTCTACTCTACTCTACTCTATTCTTTCCTTCCTCCTTTCCTTCCTTGTTTGTACCTTATGTTTCTTGGCTCTTGATGAATGTATCCTTTCCTTGATGTACACTGAGAGCATTTGAACCAAGAAAAATTCCTTGTGTGTCCAAGCACACTTGGCCAATAAAGAATTCCATTCTATTCCATTTTGGGGGACATTGACGGAAGGAATCCAGTTGGGTTCTTCAAGGGAGAATCTCCCCTTAGCCCCCATCTTGCTCCGTAACTCCGTTTCCATCCAGGCCAAATTCTCCTCTCTGGCGGCTTCATTTCACGAGGGGCTGAACTTGGGGCCAAGTACAAAGACGGCCCAATGTTAGAGAGTGGAAGGGAGAGGGGTCTGGGGTCACGGCACCCCTTGGCTGATCCTGGGGGGGCTGGAATGGAGCCATGATGGATGGACGGCCGGAGGTGAAGGCAGGTTGGGGGGGGGGGGAGAGGCGGCTCTTGAGTGATGGGCCAAGTCATGGGAACCATCTCACCCTGGGTGTGTCACGTGGCTGGGCAGATGGGATAAGGGTGGTGGGCTCCATTGTGCCACGGAGCGAACCAACGAAGCCCCCCCTTCACCTCTCCTGACCCTGGCATTGTCCAGCCTCTCCGCCCTCCACCCCGTACCCCTCGTGAGGCTGATTGACAGCGCTTCCACGGGGGGGGGGGGCTCCTTCGTCCGTCTCCCCAGTTGCTAAGTCGGGGTTGAAATGGAGTATCCATCAAGATGTCATCGTCCAGGGGGCACAATCCCTGCTGCCCCGCCTTTCCCCCCCCCCCTGGGGGGGGGCAGTGTCACTGGCAGACTTTCCTTTGGAGACGGGGTGGCCCGTGGCTGTGGGGGCTGCAGGCAAGCCAAGTCCTAAGGGGATTAAAAGGGTCTTTTGTCTCCCCCCCCCCACCGTCCCAGCCCAAGCACTTCCCATCTGTTTGAGGAAGTATAGAATAGCAGAGTTGGAAGGGACCTTGGAGGTCTTCTAGTCCAGCCCTCTTCTCAAGCTTCAGCATTTAACGCACATAGAATAGAATAGAACAGAGTAGAGTAGAGTAGAGTAGAGAAGAATAGAATAGGAATTGGAAGAAATAGAATAGAATAGAATAGAATAGAATAGAATAGAATAGAATAGAATAGGAATAGAACAGAACAGAATAAGGAAGAGTAGAATGGGATGGAATTGAATTAGAGCCACCCAATAACTGGGGGAAGAGAGGGAGGAAGGAAGGGGGGATTAGGAAAGGAGTGAAGGAAGGAATTGAGAGGGGAAGGAAAGAAGAAATGAAGAAACAAAAGAAGGAAGGGAAGGAAGGAAGGAAGGAAGGAAGGAAGGAAGGAAGGAAGGAAGGCAGGAATAGATGGGGAAGGAAGGAAGAAGAAAGGGAAGGAAAGGAAGAAAGAAAAGAATAGATGGGGAAAGAAGGAAGGAAAGGAAGGAAGGAGGAAAAGAAGGAATAGATGGGAAGGAAGGAAGGAAGGAAGGAAGGAAAAAAGACATATTTATTGGGGCCTTGTGTTCTTCAGAGAACTAAACTCGGGTTAATTATCCATGACTCTGCTCTGACTTGACTGACATGGGAGTATCCCGCCGCCTTCTCCCCCTCCACAGACCTGGCCTACCCATCAGAGCTGTCGTTCGTCTTGGAGCCGAGCGATGTGATTGCCGTCCGGGATCGGCCGCTGATTCTCCACTGCCAGGTGAAAGGCGAGGCGCCCATCCACATCACCTGGTACCGCGATGGGGTGGCCCTCTCCAACGACAGCCATACCGCGCTTTCAGCCAACGGGTCTTTGCGCCTGGACAGCGTCCACCGGAGGCCTCGGGGAGGCTCTGCGAAAGAGGACACCACAAATCCCAGCGCCGGAGAATATAGCTGCACCGCCCAGAACTGTTTTGGCGTGCTGGTCAGCCGCAAGGCTCGGATCCAGATTGCCAGTCAGTCTCCAGATTTTCACTATCTGCATGTTGGCAACCTTCCCCCTGGAAAGTTTGAGGAAGGAAGGAAGGAAGGAAGGAAGGAAGGAAGGAAGGAAGGAAGGAAGGAAGGAAGGAAGGAAGGAAGGAAGGAAGGAAGATGAGAAGGCAGGCAGGCAGAAGAGGGGAAGGTAAATAGAGAAAGGTGGGAGGGAAGGAGGGAGAGAGGGAAGGAAGATGAAAAGAGTGGAAGGGAAAGAGAGAGAAAGGGAAGGAAGGAAGGAAAGAAGAGTGGGAGGGAGGGAAGGGAGGAAGGAATAGAAAAGGGAGGAAAGAAGGAAAGGGAAAAGAGGAGACAGGGAAGGAAGGAGGACAAGAAAGGGAAAGGAAGGGCAGAAAGGGATAACAGAAAAGGGAGGAGGGAGAAAGAAAGGAAGGAAAATGAAGGAAGTCAAGAAAAAAGGAAGGAGGGAACGAAGGAAGGAAAAGGAAAGGAGAGGAAAGAAGGAAGGAAAATGAGAAGGCAGGCAGGCAGAAGGAAATAGAGGGGAAGGGAAACAGAAAAGTGGGAGGGAAGGAGGGAGAGGGAAGGAAGATGGAAAGAGCGGAAGGGAAAGAGGGAGAAAGGGAAGGAAAGAAGGAAGGAAGAGTGGGAGGCAGAGAAAGGAGGAAGGGATGGGGGAAGGGGAAAAGAGGAGACAGGGAAGGAGGACAAGAAAGGGAAAAAGAGAAGGAAGGACAGGTAGGTATAGAAGAAGAGAAAAAGAAGGAAGGAGAAAAAAGAAAGGACAGAAAATGAAGAAGGAAGTCAACAAAGGGAAGGAAAGGAAAAAAATGGAAAGGAGAGGAAAGGAGGAGGGGAGGGAGGGAGGGAGGGAGGGAGGGAGAGAGGGATATCTTAAAGTTGCCACGGTTGGGAAACCCTGATTTAAGAGCTTAGAAATCGAGCATCTTGAATGAGGCTTGTTAAACAATTTAAACTCTAGATGGATTTTCCAGTTTCTCAAACCGTCATCCGGGAAAATCGTTCTAACCAACCTTGGCTACAAGTTCAGAACATCCCTCGAGGGCAGCCCCATCTGGGCCACTTTGCAGTAGACAAGCTGTAGACGAGCCGCTAATAAGATCGCAAGGCTCGGCTCAAACCCTGACCATCGCTGCCTGTCGCTCCTCCCTTCAAGCGTTATCCAAGTTCCACATGCACCCGGAATCGATGTCGGTCGAAGAGGGTGGCGTCGCCCGGTTCCAGTGTCTCATCCAGGGTGTCCCGGAAGCCACCATAACGTGGGAACACAATCGGACGACACCGTTGACCGAGGATTATCGGTGAGCTTTGTAGGGCCGTGGCGGTGTTGATGGTGCGCCAAGGAAAATGGTAGGAGAGTCACGTTGTTAAGTCGAGCAATAACTGTATCTGTTTAGACGCTAACGGGGACACCGATGTTTTAATTGTTTTTTTTAATTTTTTTAAAAACTTGGATATTTAAGAGGATCTGCTGGAGTAGAATTTGGGGGAGGGGGGGGCGGGGAGGCGCAAGAAATACCGTTCCAGCAGGACAGCCATTTTATCCTCCTCCTCCTCTTTTAACGACCCTGTAATCCCTTGCGGGGTGGAATCTGGGCAACTGAATGGAGCTAGCCGGAGTTTACTGGCCAGATGCCCTTCCTGTCACCAATGAGGAGTTTTGCTTAGCAGATATATTCTCAGTCAAGAGGTGGGTATTCAGCAGGTACTGACCAGTTCTGGAGAACCGGTAGTGGAAATTTTGAGTAGTTTGGAGAACCAGCAAATACAGCCTCTGACTGGAGATTTTACGGTATCCTTCCCCTGCCACGCCCACCAAGCCACGCCCACAGAACTGGTAGTAAAAAAAACTTTGAATCCCACCACGGTTGTCAGTGTGCACAGAGAAAGGATCAAAACCACAGCCTCCTGATTCTTGCACCACTCCCAGGAGAGCAACGTTATGCTCAGATTGATACCCTGATGTGGGAAACTATATGCTACCAATGCCTGGAAATCTACACAGACACAAACACACAAAACAACACCTGCACCACCTTTCCGTCTTCTCGTTTCGTTCAGATTTACCCTTCTGCCCGCTGGCATTCTCCAGATCACCGGCGTGAGACAATCCGATGTGGGAACCTATCGTTGCGTGGCGAGAAACATTGCCAACACTCGCTACAGCCAGGAGGCCGCGCTGAGCATCAGCAGTGAGCACCAGGGGGTTGGTGGGTGGGTGGAACTCATGCTAGGCAGGTGGACTCACCTGGTGAATGGATGGCTATTTCGGGAAGGGACGCAGAGTGAGCCGAGCTGGGAAGCGCTGGTCTTATTTACGGGGAATATGAATCGAGCGAGGGTTGTCCTGTTGGTCACGAAGATTGTCTCGCTTTCTCGTCGCATGGGGAGGGGAGAGGCTCTGTACCCCTCACCCCAAGAGAAGTTGGACGGCCCTCAAGGTTCTCATCTTGTGCTTTTTTTTTTCAGTGTCTGTGCCCAAGGTCTTTAAAGAGCCGGTCATCTTGTCAGGACCCCAGAATCTGACCATTACGGTACACCAGACGGCTATCCTCGAGTGTATCGCTACGGGGAACCCTCGCCCTATCGTGTCCTGGAGTCGTCTGGGTGAGCAGGGGGGGGGGGTGCTGAGGGAGACCATCATGGGGGAGGGGGACGGGGCGATGGCATGGGGAAGGATTTCCCGAGAAGGTCAGAAGCGTACCCAAAGGAAGTAGCCAAGGAGAAGAGGGTGTTGTTGGTTTGCCGGCGGCAGGTGTGGACGGCTGAGGTCTCGGAGAGTGAGGACTCAGATGAGGGGCCCTGCGTGTAATGCAGGGATGGGGCCAGGACCATCAGGGAGTGGAGTGCTGCCTTCAGAGATTGTGGAGGCTGGCAGCAGTGAGGAAGAGTTTCCCGAGGAGCCTGTGCCCAATGTGTGTGCGTGCAGGGCTGCTCGAAGGAAAGAGCAGCATGGGCGACTCGGGAGTAAGGCTGCAAGGTAATGGCCCCTCCCTTAAGAGATAAAAGCCAGCTGAGAAACCGGAGTTCTTTGCAGGAAGCAAAGAAGTTTTTGCGCTCAAGCCTGGTGGACGTTCGGACTCTCTTAGTTTGTGTTTGGAGACTCTTTGCGTTTTGAAATACTTCTTGGCGACTTTATCTGGTGTTCTTGGCAGCCTTGCACCCCCTCGGCAAGGCTCCTTCTTGACAATTAGTTTGAAACAGCCTTTTAACCGGGAAGGAACGTCATTCACAAAGAATCAATCATTCAAAGGTTTTGCTGTTACCTCCATTTGGGGTTGGTTTCCTTGGAACAAGGTTTGGGTCCGAACAGGGCTGAGAGAGACCTCCAACACTCCGACCGGATTGTCTTCTTCCCCGTAGACGGGCGTTCCATTGGCGTGGAAGGGATTCAAGTGCTCGGAACCGGCAACCTCATGATCTCGGATGTGTCGGTGAAGCACGCCGGGGTGTACGTCTGTGCCGCCAACCGTCCCGGCACTCGGGTGCGCCGCACAGCACAAGGCATCCTCATGGTTCAAGGTAAGACGTCTTCCACATTTTGGCTCACCGGGGAGGTCGTTGTGGACCCAGCTTTAGATTAACGGGCAAAGACCAGAAACTTGGGGTGGCCTTCAGATCTTTGGAATTGGGTCATAAGTCATAAGGTCATAATGGAGTTGACGAAAGGGACCTTGGAAGGTCTTTTAGCCCACCCACCCCTGCTCAGATCTTGATTGTATCCCTCTGCAGATGCGGTAGCTCACACGGAGTCTGTTGTAGGGTTGAATGGTTGCTAAGCAACCGGATGTAAGCTACCTGTACGGTTGGTGTCAGCACCTCCAGGGTTACCAGTTAGTCTTGGACTTACTCTATCTCTCCGCCCTTAACAGATAACAGATAATAATCAGAATTGGAAGGGACCTTGTAGGTCATCTAGTCCAACCCCCCCCCATCCAAGAGGGAGACCCTACACCATTTCTGACAGATGGGAGTCCAATCTCTTCTTGAAAGCCTCCAGGGATGAAGCTTCCACAACTTCCGAGGGCAACTTTTGTTCCATGGGTTGATGGCTCTCACTGTCAGAAAGTTTATCCTTGTTTCCAGGTTGAATCTCTCCTTGGTCAGCTTCCATCCATTATTCCTTGTCTGGCTTTCAAAGGTGCTTTGGAAAATGGGTTGACCCCCTCCTCCTCTCTGGGGCAACCCCTCAACTATTGGAAAATGCTCTCCTGTCTCCCCTGGTCCTTCACTAGGCTAGCCAGGCCCAGTTCCTGCAACCGTTTGTCATATGTTTTAGCCTCCAGTCCCCTCATCATCCTGGTTGCTCTTCTCTGCACTTTTTCTAGAGCTTCAACGACTTTTTTATAGTGTGGTGACCAGAACTGGATGCAGTACTCTAGGTGTGGCCTTACTAGGGCTTTATAGAGTGCTATTAGTACCTCCCTTGATCTTGATTGTATCCCTCTGTTAATGCAATTTAGGATCACATTGGCTTTTTTGGCGGCTGCTGCACACGGCTGGCTCCTATTTAGCTGGTTGTCCACTAAGACTCCAAAATCCCCCTCACAGTCACTGCTATTAAACCTAGTTTCACTCTTCCTGCTCGCCATTCTCGTTCAAGCATTAAGGACAAACACCCGGCCATTTCTCCACTTGCCCTCTGGCAGCCATCGATTTTTTTGGGCGGCGGGGGGGGGGGGGGGGTGGTCCAGCGAAAGCGAGGGGGGGGGGGGGGGGGGGGGGGGGATCGGGGGGGTGCCGTGTGGGGCTGGGGGGCGACAAAGGAAGGTGGATGATGGATGCCGTGCAGCCTTCTTCTCTGGAGGACGCTGTGTGTTCCAAATCGGGGGAGCAGCGGTTGAATTTGGGAGCGGATCTCCTCGGAGAAAGAGGAGGGAGGAATTTGGGGAGGGGGAAACTCCCTCACTCTGGAGGTTGGTTGCACGGCGGGGCAGCACCGGAGCCCACCAGACGAGCCAAAATTTGCATCTCAGCCGAGAGTGGCACCCTTGGCTTTCCCAAGGGGTCAAAGGTCAGCTCTCTCTCCCACCCACCCTCTCCAGCCCAGACTCCCCCCCCCTTCCTAAATGGTCTGGAGGACAATTGGGGAGCCTTTGAAGGTGGGCTCAAGCCCACCGCCCCCAAACCCAGAAGTCTGGATTTCAATTTGGAAAAATATCAAATCCGCCGACATAAAACAGAGCAATTTAAGCCGAGGAGACATAACGGGGACCTCTTTTGCTTCCCTCTCGGCCACCCAGATCCCTTACCCCCTAATTTGTGGGGCTGTTCCTTTGTGTGTGTGTATGTGGGGAGGGGGTGTCAGTTCAGGTCCCAGATTCCTGGAAAGCCCACCCCCCAACTCCCAATTTCCCTGCTCTCTCTTTTCCTGCAAGCAAACTCTTCCGCCCGCAGTTTTCGGGGTCGCGATGGCAGAAAAAAATGGTGGGGTGATAAGAGTCGCAAAAAAAGGCTGGTGGAGAAGGGGGGGGAAACACTTGGGGGGGGCCGTAGGGAGAAGAGGAAGGGGTGGGGAGAGGTTAGAGTTCAAATCCCCCCCCTCCTCATTTCCATGCTTGCGTTCCCTAGAGTACTCTGGCCAACAAAAGCTATTTTCGGTCTGTCTGTCTCTTTTCGCTCGCTTGCTTTCTTTCCAAGAAGAGAGAGGACACGAAATGAAAGGGGAGGGGTCTCTCTCTTTGTTTGGGGTCAAGGCTGAGGTTAGGGCTTTAAAAGGGGAGGGCAAAAAAAAGAAAGAAATCCCACTGCTCTTTTCCCAGCCTTTTGGAGAGCTAATGAGATGCAGGACGTGGAGACGGGAACTGTAAAGCTCCTTTTAATTTTGTTTTTCTCCCCTGGACACCGAGGGGCATCTGCCTCTCCGGTCTCCCAAGCTGAGACCTACGCCCCCCCCCCCAGCTATGGGGTGCAAGCCCAGATCGGAGGGATGTTGCTGCCCCCTGCTGGCACCGAGAGAAGCAACTCCTCGTCCTGGACATACGAGCACCATGGAATCCAACATTGACCCGAAACGAGTGTTGAGTTTTGCGCCCCTTCATTTTACAAGCTTTCGTGCCGCGGTTGTTAAGCGAGTCATGTTGTTAAAGAGAGGGACACGGTCGTTCAGGGAATCTGACTCCGCTGGTCAGAAGGTCGCCAAAGAGGGATCAGTGCGAACTCCGGACGCGCCAACCGTCGGAAACAGGAGCATCCGAATGTTGATCACGTAACCGCGAGGACGCCGCAACGGTCATTAAGTGTGAAAATCCAAAGTCCCTTTTCTCTCTCTCTCCACGGCCTGCTGTTGAATAGTGTGGTTTCTTGAGTCTCGACCGAGAGGTAGAACTTCCTCGTGCAGGAGCAGTCTTATCTCAGAGCAGCGGTTTTCGACCTCCTAGTCCGCCTTGACAAGGATAGCCATGAAGGTTTAGAGGCAGGCAGAGGGGGGGACGGACGGGCGGATGGTCCCCTCGGCTTGTTTCGACTGGTTTTGTGCAGAGGACTAGGAACTTGAAGGTGAAAACCGGACGGATGAGCTTTCCTCGTTCTTTGCAACCAGGTCTTTTTACTTCTTCCCCGTTTTTTTTTTTTTTTTTTTGTGGGTCTCTCTCTCAGCACCGCCGGAGTTTGTGCAGTGGCCTCAGTCTCTTTCCAAAACGCTGGGCACCAGCGCCATCTTCACCTGCGTGGCACAGGGGGTGCCCGAGCCTCACCTGGTCTGGCTGAAGAACGGGAAAGTCCTGGCCCCCGGCGACAACATCAAGCTGACCCACAACAACAGGTCCAGGCCTCCCCTCCTTTCTTTCTTTCTTTCTTTCTTTTTCTTTCTTTCTTTCTTTCTTCCTTCCTTCCTTCCTTCCTTCCTTCCTTCCTTCCTTCCATCCATCCATCCATCCATCCATCCATCCATCCACAGTCTCCTTCCTTCCTTCCTTCCTTCCCCATCCCTGGAGTCTTTTAAGAAGAGACTAGACAGCCGTTTGTCTGGAATGGTAGAGGATCTCCTCCTTGAGCAGCGGGTTGGACTAGATGGCCTTGAAGCTCCCTTCCACCCCAGTGACTCTCTTTTTATTTTCTGTCCTCCCGCAGCACCCTGATGATCCAGGGCATCACCTCCGACGACGAGGCCATCTACCAGTGTATCGCGGAGAACAGCGCGGGCACCAACCAGGCCAGCGCCCGGCTGGCAGTGGCCCTCTCCAAGGAGCTGCCCAGTTCGCCAGAAGGGGTGCAAGCCGTCGCCCTCTCCACCACCTCCATCCGGGTGTCCTGGCAGGAGCCGTCCCGGGAGGTCACCGAATCCATCATCGGCTACGTTCTGCATTTCCGGAAGGCAGGAGGTGAGACCGGCCTTGGTGTGTGTGTGTGTGTGTGTGGGGGGGGGGTTCCTTCTAGCCTACTCCTGCCCCTTCTCCCCAAATCTCTGGGGTTCCCCATCCCGCCGGCAGCTTCTCGGCTTCTCTAAGTTTCACCAAGAGGATGAGGGGACTGGAGCAGAGATGGGATTCAGCCGGTTTGGACCGGTTCTCGCGAACCGGTTGCGAGGAAATTTTGAGTAGTTCGGAGAACCAGCCAATGCCGCCTCTGAGTGGCCCCACCAACCCCATCTATACTCCCCCTTCCTGAGTTCCAGCTGATTGGCTGGGTCTTCTTTGGTTGCCTTGACTCGGGAGAACGGACCTGGAAAGCAGGTGAGCGGGGTGGGGAGGGAAAGGGGACTTGGCAGTAACTTTCCCCTGCCACGCCCACCAAGCCACGCTGGGAACTGGGCCTGGCTAGTCTAGGGAAGAGAAGGACCTGGGGAGACAGGAGAGCAGTCTTCCAATATTTGAGGGCGGGGGGGGGGGGGGGGGGGGCTAGGGGACCTCCAAGGTCCCTTCCATCTCTAATCTCTCTCCTTTGGGTTCCCTCTGCAGAGTCGGACAGCCACGAGCTGCAGGAGGCGGTGAGCAAAAATACTTTCCACCACGTCTTCGGCAACCTTGAGCCCTTCACCACGTACTCCGTCTACCTGAAGGCTTATTCCCCCCTGGGGGCCAGCCAAGACTCCCAGCCCATCCTGGCCACCACGCTGGGCAGTGGTAAGTCTCACTAACGGGGAAGGGGAAGATTTGTAGCTCGGGGTTGAACCTGTGGGGTCCTTGGTGCTCTCTCTTTCTCTGGCTGGCTGGCAGGCATTTCACGACCCAGCTAGGTCACAGCATCAGGGCTACGAGGGGAGTTGGGTTTGGGGAGAGGAGGAGGAGGAGAAAAGTGAGGGATCCTTGGTGGTCTCTGAGCTTGGTTGTTTCCTTGCAGACGTTTCGTGACCCAGCTAGGTAACATCATCAGTGCTAGAAAGGAGTAGGGTTTGTGGAGAGGAGGAGGAGGAGGAAGGGAAGAAGGAAGGAGGAGGAAGAGGAGGAAGAGAAGGGGGAGGAGGAGGACTGTGGGGTCCTTGATGCTCTCTGACGTTTGCAGATGTTTCGTTACCCAACTAGGCAACATCATCAGTGCTAGAAAGGAGTAGGGTTTGTGGAGAGGAGGAGGAGGAGGGTCACTGCTTGTTCTCCTCTCCCTAGTCCCAGCTGCCTTGACCTTCTTCACCAAGATCCTGAACATCAGCTCCGTCCAGGTGTTTTGGGAGCCGCCCTCGACGCCCGGCGGGATCGAAGGATTCAAGCTGTACCTCCGGAAGCTGCCCAGCACCCACTACGAGGCGCCTCAGATCTTGCCTGGCATGGCCAACTCCTTCCTCTATGGCAACCTGGGTGGGTTCTCCATTCTTCCGGGAGGGCGGAGCGGGCCTTGCGAACGGCGCCCAGGTGGCACCGGCTCCGAGGCAGCGGCCTCTTTCCAAGACTCTGGAAACTCCCACCTGTGCCAGGACAGGTGCCCCCCTCAAAGGGGCAGTGCTGGTGGAGGGAGAGAGGGAGGTGGATTGGCGCTGGCTTTGGGCTCAGCTGGAGACACCACGCAACCCATGCGCCTGCTCCTGAGCATGGGGATTTCTGCGTCACAATCTGTGTGCCGATTGGCCCTGCTTTGCAAAGAGAAGCTGTCTGTCCCTTCCTTCCTCCCTTTTCTCTTTTTCCTTCCCCTTTTTCTCCCCCTCCTCCTCTCCATTATCTGTTTGTCTGTCATCTACCTACCTATCTCATCTATCGATCTATCTATATCTCATCTACCTATCATCTATCAATTTATCATTTATCTATCCTTCCTTCCTTCCCTCCCCTTCTTTCTTTTCTCTCCTTCCATCAATCTATTCACATATATCTCTATTTCTTCCTTCTTTCTCTCCCTGTCCTTCTCCCTTCCTTCCTTCATCTATCTATCTATCTATCTATCTATCTATCTATCTATCTATCTATCTATCTATCTATCTATCTATCTATCTATCTATCTATCCTCTATATCTTTATCACTGTCGTCTATTTCTGTTCCTTCCTTTCCTTCCTTCCCTCCTTCTCTCTCTCTCTCATCTATCAATCAATCAATCTACCTACCTCTCATCTCTCTCATTTCTATGTCATCTCTCTCTCTCTCCCCCCGTTGTCCAGCTGTGGCCCTCAACAGCTGGAGAGGCTGCCCCCCTTGAGCTTCTCCCTGGGGCTGCCTCCATGCTGGCTCTCTCCTCCCCACAGAACCGGCGGCCAGCTACGAGATCAGACTCGTGGCCTTCAACAGCCACGGGGACGGGAACAGCAGCCGGCGCTTCGTTTCCCTCCAGGACGACCCGGAGTGGTTGGGTAAGAGCTGGCACCAAGAGCTGCCCTCCAGCCAAGTGAGGGGGAACCATCTCTGGGCACCCCTTGGCAACGGCCCCGGCCGGAGGCAAGATCTCTAACCAGGGTGGGAGCCTCCTTCTGCAGAGGCAGTCTATCCCACCTGCCCGATCTTCTTTCTCCACAGAGGCCAACTCGGTTTGCCAATGCAGGCAAGATCGGGATGCTTCCCTGGCTGGCATCGTGGTGGGCGTTCACATTGGCATGGCGTGCATTATCTTCTGTGTCCTCTTCCTGATGTTTGGCTACCGCAAGAGGTGAGGGTTTGGAAGGAGCCCTGGATTCGTTCAACTTCCTTAGGCCTCCTTTCCTTCACTTCCTGCTATCTGCCTTTCTTTCCTTCCTTCCTTCGTCCCTTCCTTCTCATTCCCATCTCCTTTTCTTTCCCCTTTCTCTTCCTTCTCATCTTCCTTCCTTCCCATCTTCCTTCCTTTCCTTTCCCTTCCTTCCTTCCTTCCTTCTCATTCCCATCTCCTTTCCTTTCCCCTTTCTCTTCCTTCTCATCTTCCTTCCTTCTCATCTTCCTTCCTTCCCATTCCCTTCCTTCCTTCTCATCTTCCTTCCTTCCTTCTTCCTTTCTTCCCTTCCTTCCTTCTTCCTTCTTTCCTTTCCTTTCGTTTCCTTTCCTTTCCTTCCTTCCAAGATCTGTCTGGAGAGAATGCTGGTAGACTCCCGTTTTCATCCCTTAAATGACTGTGCTCTGCTTTGCCCTTGATGGAGCTTCCACACCCTGCAGCAGTCTTACCTCAAAAGGCCAGAAACAGGTCCTTCCCCCCGCCCCCCGCTTCTTTGCTTGAGGACACTTAGCGGAGACCTCTCAAGAACCTCTCCTCTCAGCGGGGCTTCCTTCCGTAACTCTCCTTTGGGGTTTTCCTCGCCAGCCTTTTCTGCAAGAAAGGACCTCAGGAAAACTGGACTGTCCCACAAGGAACCGAATTGGTGTCTTCCAGCTCTCAGGATCCCCGTCTTAACCCGCGCAAGCCGGACAGCAGGGCCAAACCTCCAGAAATGATGGAGCTGGTTGCTCGGGTGAGGACAATTTTGGTGGTTGCACCGGTCTAAGTTCTGGAGAAGGTCTTGAGGGTAAAACAGGGTTGGGTGGTGGGGAAGGTAAGAGGTTCTCCTTCCTTGGACAATCTTCTGAAATGTGGTGGCCAGCAAGTCAGATGGACTGCAACTCCTACGGTTTTTCTGATGGGTTTCAGGTAGAAAAATAACTCGATCAATGAAGGGTGTTGAGGTCCCTCATGTTTTGAGGGACACCATGTAGTTAAGAAAAAAAAAAAACAAGCTTTGGTCTAAATGACCTCTCTTCAAATTGATGTATTAGGTGCCATCAAGTCATTTTTTTGACTCCTGGCGACCACGTTGAGGTTCTCCAGGAATTTCTGTCCCCCACCTGGTCCTTCAGATCTTCCGATGGAGGATTTCCACCTGAATCTTTCCCCCTTTCCCAGTTTCTAGAGAGCTGGGTCTTCTACTCATGACCAAAGTAGGATCATTTCTGTCTAGAAAACTCTGGAATTCAAGGGATGTGAGCTAGAGGCAAATTTCACATAAATATACAAGTTGTGGGACTAGATAAGGCAACGTTGAAAGCGGACAACCTCCGTGGTCACTTATAATATCCTAGATGTCGGCTGCTTCTCCTCCATCCTTAAATGGTGAAGCTCTCAACTTGCTACACCGGGGAGCAGGACACAAATTCAGATGTTCGAACCTTACTGGTGGTGTGCAGGTTATATTCTGCAGCCACCGGTCTTCTCCATCGCAGATCTTCTGAGGAGGCTTCCGGTGTTGGAGAAGCCTGGCCTTCACCACCTCCATTATGGACACCAAGCCATCGCGGTTGGACAATTTCACGGAGGTTCCGTAGAGGTTCAACCTTGTCTGGAAGGAAACTCAGCTTTGGAGGAGAAGCCAAAGAGCTGGGAAGGAGACACCACGCAGGGGTGGGATACGGAGAAGAGGACAGGACGACCTCGAAGAGGTGCTCCAATCCGGTTGTGGTTGTTTTGTCTTTGCAGAACAGCTCCGCGTGTGAAGGAGGCACCACCAGAGAGGGTCCTCATTTTGAAGTCACCATTGAGTGCTGTCCTCCGTCTCAGCCCAGCGGTTAGGCGAGCCCCGGGACTGTGGCGTGGGGAGAGGTCTTCCAAGGGGCAGAGGGGTACTCCGGAGAGTTTGGGCCTCCCCTCATATTACCCCACCACAGCTCTCCAAAGAAACTACACCTCACCTCCTCTTGGAGACACCGCCACCCCAAAAAACGTCTAATCCAGCCATCAATCCCCCCCCCCCCCCCCCGTTATCCTGGAAGGTCTATTTTTGATACAAGATGCCAAAACTACCTCAATTTGCCAGCCACTCTGGCCGCCAAAATAAGACTTCGCCCACACCCCACCCTGGCTCTTTCTTCACCAAAGTGGGGAGGAAAAAATGGGGACCCCTTTCCCACGGGACCCCCTAAGTTTCCAGACCCTGCAGCAACCGTTCCAAGGAAGAGATGGAAATCGGAGAGAAGGAACGCTTTCTCTCGCCCTTCTTCCGTCTGGCTCGTTTTGGGATGGAGATGCAAGTTGGACCCCCCTCCAGTTGTGCCAATGTGGGGAGAGTGGAAACCCCCCCCCAAATATTCCCCAATAATATGGGGTGGAGGAAGACCACCTGGTTCTGCTGTTCTACACCCAGGGTGCCTGGGAATTCGGCACCAGCATACCAAATATCATGAAACCCAAAGTCTCCCCAACTTTCTACCATGTCCCCTCATGAGGCCTTGGTGCTCCCTTCAGAATCTTTTGTGGAGTGTTTTTGTTTTGTTTTGCTGGATATATAGATTGCATATATATATATACACAAATAAGGTCTCTATCCAAATATTTTTTGAAGAGGGTAAAACAACACAGAGTCACACACACACACAAATTATGGCCGAACTGCTTCCAAAGATGTAAAGCTTTAACTGGAGAAGGAAGGGAAGATGGAATCTGGTGCAGGAGCCATGGAGCTTGAAGGTCACGGTTGAGAGCTTTTCTGGTCCCGCAGTTGAGCTACTGATGGAAACATCTCAACAGACCCTCCCGCCTTGTGATTGTGGTTTTTTGGGGGGCTCAAACTCATCCAGTGAAAGGCGGCCTTAAGTTGGGCGCAAGAGACCCTCTCTTTCAACTTCTCTTGGTTGTAGCAACGGTGACTTTTCCAATAGTCACAGTTGAACAACCCAACTCACTGTTGTGATGTCATCCAGACATGACTTCAAAAGCTCGTGATGGTAGCTGCACCAGAGATTCTCCCTTCCTTTTTTTTCCCCTTTTCCTTTCTTTTCTCCCCGAATCAAACTTTCTTTCCTAGTCTTTGCTTCTCTTTCTCAAGCAGCAAAGCCAACCCGGTGGGATCAGCTGTAGCTTAAGCTCTTTGGGAGTCCCACCTAAACACCTGCTTCTAGGTGGCGATGGAATCCATCTTGGTCCTTAAGGGAGTGCCAGGTGGCGTTCTCGGGGTAACCAAATGTGAAGATGGGCCAACATTTGGAAAAAGTCACAAGAGCTAGAGCGAAATCAAGGACAGGAAGAGAAATTGGAGGGAGGTTGGTTCTTGGAGAAGGTGCCTACAGCTTTCTTGGTCCATCGGTGGTGCCCTTATCTTTCGTTCGGTCTTTCTACGCTTCCTCAAAAGGAAATTAAGAAAGAAAACAGAAGGGAGAGAGAGAGAAAGACTAGGACTCAAAGAATGTTCACAGATTCAGTTTGTACCTTTCCAAAAAAAAAATTGTTGAAAAAAGAAAGAATATTAGATAGAAGTTCATTCCTACCTCCTTTCCATTCTAAGTTTCTTCTCTAACAACTACAACCAAAATGCCTCCCGCCCCCTTCCTTTCCCTACCCCAAAGTTGAATTTTCTTTCCCAAAGCTTTTCCTTCAGATTATTCTAGTGCCTTAGGCAAAACTATGGGGTTTTCTTCCCCCTTAGCTGAAAATTGAGTTTGATCTTTGTTTTCCTCAAATATCAGCTGCTTCCCAACGCACAGAAGCGCAGACAGTGGTTCAAGGGCCAGAGTCAACTCCCAAGGACCATGGATGGCTTCTCATGAGGTTTGGATGGTCCATAGCTCTATTTTGGAGATAGAACTAAGACCCATCCTTTTGTACCTGTTGACCAAAAGGTACCTTGTAAGGAGATTGCTGCTGCTCACGATCTTCTGCGGGCTTATTTCCCCCCGATGGTGCGGAAGTGTTGACTGCAAACCTTTTAAGAAAATAACCGAATCTTATTTTTTAATCTCGGATCATCATCTCTTTAAATATTTTAATTAGGGTTGGAAATGGGGGGGGGGGGGGGGGGGGGGGGAGAGAGACTTGGAAAGTGGCCCTCCTGCCCTTGAATCATTGTGGATAAAGAGAATAAAATGGCTAGTATCAAATGAGGTGAGCAAATGCTTTTGAACCTAAAAATGGAGTTTTTTAAAAAATATGTACGTTTGTGGAACGAGGATGCAAGCTTTAAAAGGAACCTACCAGAACCTACCAAAACCTTCTTGACTGCGTTGAAAATTAAAAAGAAAATAAAGGAAAATGGTTCTTGGTCAGCCTAGGTTTTTTTGGGGGGTGGGGAAAAAAAAGGGGATTAAATATTTTTTTTCTCTATCAGCCAAGGCTGATATTAAACTCGACTTTGGGTGTGTGTGCAGGGGTGGGATTCAAATTTCTTAACAACCGGTTCTGTGGGCTTGGCCTAATTTGTGGATGTGGCTTGGTGGTCACGTGACTGACTAGGCATGGCTTACATGTAAATATTGATGTAAATATATATTTTTTTATAAAAAAAAAGAACTTTTACCCAAAAGCAGGCAAAGCAGGCAGGCAGACTGAGTTGCTCACAGAATCACAGATTCACTCAGAGATCTATCTTTCTGCAATCTGCTGCCTGAGTCTTTCACATAAAATTTGCTTGCAAGCAAACTCACAAAATTAACTCACCACACACCATGTATGTAAATATTGATTATTATTATTTAAAAAAGAGCAACTTTTACCCAAAATCAGGCAAAGCAGGCAGGCAGATTGAGTTGCTCACAGAATCACAGATTCACTCAGAGATCTACCTTTCTGCCATCTGCTGCCTGAGTCTGCACTGAAAAATAAAAGCTTCGGTCCTAAGGAAGGTTCAGCTCTGCTTTTAGATGAGCTAGAAAGCAAGAAATCCAATGATTTCCTGCTTTCCAGCTAATCTAAATCTCCCGGCACAGCTGATAGTTGGAACAG